ATGGGTCCGCTGTTGCAATAGCACACCATTTCTGCAGTCACAAGGGTCACGAGAGCGAGGCTGGAGAGCAGTGTCGTCCCCGTACCCCGACCGCGCTGCCGGGCTTCCACCCAGGCGCCTAGCTATAACCAAGCGCAGTACTTGTCTGCGCCCTCTCTTTACTTGTTGTTCTCCACTGTTATTGCAGCTCCGCTGCAAGTCTTGGTATCGACGCATGTGCTGCACATTGAGAGTTGTGCAAGCGCTGTATAGAAAGGCGTTTGGGTGCAACATCACTACGGCCCCGTACCTGTCCACTTTGAACGGAGAAAGTGGCAGGCCACAGCAGCTGGACCCATTGCCCTACCCATCGCAAGGACCGTCCTCATAGGGGAGTTAACAGTTTGTCTTTATTCTCTGCACATTCACAATCGGTTTCGAGGACTTCACTGATGTAACTTGATCTCCATTCGAAAAAGGAAGTCAAAATCCTCAGTGGTAAGTGTCTTGAAGTGTCTAGAATCTTGAAAGAATTTATCGAACGTATCCTAGAAGTACTAGTTGCTAGCCCCCACCTTTGCTCTTCTGAAATACAGGGATTTGAGGGAAAAAGCTTGTGTTGCTGATCAGTCCCCTTGTGGAAGGCCTATGGAATTCACGTCACCTCCACATAACTGCGAAACTTCTTGTATTGAGACACCCATTCAGCTACCTGGGGAGGATCATTACGCATTCTTGGTGAGGCCTGCGAAGGCCAGTTGATGTACGGTCTTGTGTTTTCTTCCTTCTAGACGAGTTCAGTACCAAACTTCGGATGTGTGGAAGGTTCTGCTGATCTCGGGGCCAGACCTGGCAGAGACCAGCAGAACATTCCGTTAAGCCGCAGCTAACTGCAACCTCCATTCACTCCCACCCGAAAATGTAGAATGAAAGCTAGCATTTAAACTACCTAGTGATTTTGGCAGTTCCTCGAGTATTTTTACATCCACCAACTCGGGAAGAATACCTTCCAGTTGGTCGACTTGATCTTTCAGTTGCTCTCCTGCAATCTGGCGCACCATCGCGATGAACGGGGCCTTAATATAGTGCATTAAATAAAGCACACGTACAACATGGTCCATAAAAACGCTTCTTGCAAAATGACTGAGAAGAGGATTTTATTGCTCACCTGTTTATTGAGATTAAATACTGCCTCAAACATTGGGACATACGGATGCGATTTGAAATACGCTTTCTCTTCGTCAGTGAACTTTATCGCGACTGCTTGAAGTTTCGCGAGGGCTTTCATGATCTAAAACTTTACTCTTAAAGCTACAACCTGCACTGCTTAAATTGGTCACCCTTTGACAACGTAAAAAAAGAAATGTCTCGGGACCTAAATAGGCGGAGCTAAACGGGAAAGCACACAGGTCGAAGAAAAGGCCGCTCGGAATGAGGTGTATACCGACTAATGTGCTGCAGATAATGATTACATATTTGTCATCTATATCTGCTGCGACAGTCTTTCTACAGTACACAGGGGGAAAAAGACACTTCGACCGAGTCACATATCAGTAAAGTTTTCGCAGCCCAGAGAGACGTGGATACGAGTACCAGGGCGGAAGATACCCAAGATGTTCCTCGATAAGCAGGAGCTCGCCCATCACCTTCATGTACACCAAAATATGAAGTCATCTCCAGTCGCAGCCTGACTGGAGAAGGCCTATGGAATTCATGTCACCTCCAAACAGCTGCGAAACTTCTTGTATGAGTCACCCATGGACAGCTACCTGGAGACCAGCACTCTTGATCTGGAAGACCTCCAACATCGAGCAGCTCCGACAACGTCGCTACGGTCCAGGATATCATCTTCACCGCAGTCGCCAAGGCGCGGGTTGATGGTATGGACCGGAAGTTCCTGGAATGGGAAGACCGATATTTTCTTCGTGGACCCCGGACTGAAAGTGAACGCTGACTGTTACATCGAACAGCTCGAGGAGAATATTCTGTATTGATGTCGTCGCCTGTACCGTCTTAGGAACTTCGTACTGGATTGGGGATTGGGTGCCTCCACACGGAATCGAAGGGCGTTGGAAAACTCTCGCCTACTTGGAATGGAAGGGCGTTGAGTACCTGAAGAAGACGGAATATCTAAGTGTGTCACCTGACCTAAACCCCTCGATTACCGGGTTCGGAGGAGCTCAACAGGGTGGTCTACAGTGGCGGAGAAATCAACGACCTCGCTGAACTCAGGCACCGAATCACGGTCGCGTGGCAGAATCTCTCGATGGCGTTCGTCCAGAAGGCTGTGGCGGAGTTTCGTGATAGTGTGCACTATTTTGTTCAATTTGACGGTGGAAATGTCCAACAGAATTTGAATCAGAATTTAATGAAGTGTAAGTTATATTGCCACTCAAGCAGAGGAAGGAAAGTGTCTTTTTTTGCCCCTCCCCTGTATACGGTTGTGAGGGTCTACAGTGAAATAAAGTAATGAATGTGAGAAAAATCTAACTTGGGTCATGTGTTCTGGTGCGACGTTGTCGTAAAGGTGATACACTGTGCCGAGTGGCGTTGCGGAGTGTGATCTCCAAATCATAGAACCCGTGAAGGATCGTTGTTACTGTGAATTCTTGACGTGAGGAGTAAACGCTGAGAACACACATCAAGTTTGGACGTCATCTCGAAAACCATTGGATAACTGCCACAAATGTCCCTCTGCGGGCTGGCGACGTCCGAAGAGCTCCAGAACGTTGTCTCCTTCTACACCATCTTTCGTGTTAATGCGCCCCATCATTGATTCGCACATTCATTTTCTCACAGCGCCACCGCTTGCTAACGTCGACCATTACAAATCGTCTAGTATGGCGCTGAGTTATCTGCCATTTTCCCAAGTCGGAGATGTTTTATTTAATCTGAGTACCCGTGTGAGCGTGCTGAGAAGCGCTCGTGTTACTTAATAGGAAGACCGATGATCGGTTTCTCAGGTACACAATACCAGCTCATGGCACAGGGGGAGGTCGAGTGGCGGATTGCGGTGGCTCTAGACACCGCTGAGAGTGACAATCAGGTGTGGCTCAATCTCGCCTACAACGAAACGAATTGGCTGGAGTGTCTTTCTTCAGCAAATCGCGCCGTGCGAACGGATTAAGTGGCTATGATAAACGTACGGTGCACTCGAATTAAAGACGAGGTCAAATAGAGCGAAATGAATTCTCTCCCGTAATCTCTCGCAAGGCAGCCTAAGCGCTTTTGTCGGCTCAAATGGTCTTGCCTACGAAGAAGGGGTGCTTTCTCGGGTATAGCGACACGACGTACGCTGCCCTCCGACGGAATGCGGATGTTACAAGGCAGTTAGCGGTCGTGCTTCTGAGCGAATGTGGGCTCTTCGAGGTCGTAGCCGCGCCTTTTTGAATGGTTTGGCTGGCTTCTATATGATGGTCTACTGCAAGTATCTACAAAATGGGTTTCATTTTTACTATGATCCCTGGGACGTCAAAAACATGAATGAAAAGCTGTTTTGTTTGATAACTGCTGTTTTACGCCGCAGTACGCGTTGCCGAAAGTTATCACAAGAATGCTGAGTTGTGGGCAAAAGTCGTGCCCCAGGCGGGAGTCGAACCCGCACCTCACTTTCTTTCGCGCGAGGCGGCTATCCGTCACAAGGAGTTTTAGGAGGCGCGATATTGGCTACGCGCCCATACAAAGCCGGTCAACTCGAGAGGCCAAAAGCGGCCCTGGTGGCGTAACGGATAGCGCACTCGCCCGGAAAGCGTGAGGTGCGGTTCGACTCCCGCCTGGGGCACGACTTTTGCCCACAACTCAGCCCTTCTGGAGTGCAAGAAAGAACTTCGCGACAAGAATCGGGCGACTTTCACTATCTTAATGCGGCCTCGCGCTCTCTTAGATGTATTTCTAGATGCATAGTTCATAAGCTGCTCCCTTTTAATTACCGCAAAAATAGTCTTTAAATACATGTCAAAACTTGAATGTCAGAACTTGGCATGCACCGATGCAACAGTGATTTTTCAGCATGTCAGCGAGTCCCCTCATGCCTTACATGCGGCGGCAACGGATAGCCGCAGCGCGATAAGCGGTGCGTGTGGTTTCTGGATGGGGACGACGATGCGATTTATTTCAACTATTTTCGAAGCCTAATTAACGAGCACCTCATAAACTATGCATGCTCGAAGTTACAATCAGAACGGAGCCCATTAAGATAGTTAAAATCGCCCATTCTTGTCAAATTCTTTTCACTCAGTTTTTGACCTCCCCAGAAACGCATAGCAAAAATGAAACCCATTTTTGTGATCCTTGTATGGACCCCTACAACAAGCAACAAACCATTTCCAAAAAGCGCGCCACGACCTGAAAGACCTCCCTTGTGAGGTGAGTTTTCACATTATCCATTCCCCGCGAGTGTTATTTTTTATTACCACCTTCTCTGCTAGATATGGAAAAGGAAGAGTCTTATTTTCGTACCTTAGGTAGAGCAATGCCTTCGACATTGTACTTCTTCATCAGTTCATAAAAGCGAACTTCCGCGTTATGGTTCTGAAATGAACTGTCTTTTAAACGATCAAAACCTCTATCGCCTTCAGAAAGTGGCCTAGTGCACCACTTGATAAATCCTTAAATTATAAAATCATTACCACAGAGCATATTCTGGAGTATTATGGACCTCAGTATGGCCACATGTTTCAACCACTGTACAGTTCCAGATTAATGGCTGCTTTCAATTGAAGCACCGCTGACAAAGGCAATATATCAAGCATGTGAAACGGGAAAATGAGCACTCGAAAAAAATTTTCTTGAGGAAAAATACGACGCTCACCCGACACCCAAACCTGGCCCTATCCGCACCGGATGCGAACCGCGATGGATAAATCCTAACAATTTTCAAAGAGCAATGGAGGTCATCTACGGCTAGTACCCTTATCTCCATGACAGCCATGTCCACTTGCCCGTAGCGCTCAAAGAAGGATGAATTCTACTCTTTTCAGTTCTCCTTTCAGGATGTCCACACACCGTTTCGTTTAAAAATTTTGCAGCATCCGGAAGACAACACCGGAACATTTGGGTTTTGAAGAATCCAGGGGAGCTCTAGCCAGAACCCTGGCTCGACTCTCGACGCGCTACCTGCCGGAAAACCACAGAACTGAGTTGTTGCAAAAGAAGAGAGACTGGCACAAGATATACTGCTGAAAAGGGTTTCAAAAGTGATTCAGCATGACTGATTTTGCCCGCACGGTAATGACCCTTCTCCGAGTTTCGCGTAGAGAGAAGCAGTTATCGAAACCTTTGGAGATCAGGGTGTATAGAAGGAAGCTCAGAAGGCCATTTGCAAAGATATATACTGACGTCCGAACGGACACAAATGTCCGCTTTTCGAATCTTTGGAACGATTCTATGAATGGTGCTGCGAAGGGTTTGTCCTCGATCTTCTCTTTCACGGCTTGCTCCGGCAAGCTCTGAAAACTTCCAAGTGTGTGCAGTCTGCCACGCTGAGAACAGATGTTAAAAAATTGCGCAGGAAAACATTGTATTCCAAGTATATAGACTGCTGCAAATGTGAGTGCTTGTGCCCTGAAATGAGGTGATAGTGCTCGTGGCGCACTCAGGAGTTTACTCGCTTCATGAGTGTGATACCACAGGAAACTCAATTTGCCTCTACAGAGGAGCTTCTAGCCGAATGTGGAAAATTGACGGACCTTCGAGAAGGGAAGGTAGTTATGGGTGAATCGCGCAGGTAATGGTGGTCCCACTGAATGCTTATAACTGACGAGAACCATCTCTGTTATGATGGATTCGTCCTATTTTATTATATATGTGTATAAGATGATTCAAATAAACTGAAGCTTAATAGTGAGGAGCGGATGTAGGGTGGAGGCCGAGATGCGGCTTACGCATGCTAATCTGTAAGCCAGTTAGGTCGTGAGTGAGTGAGTTGAAATGAACGCGGAGGCCAGTGTCTAGTATATTGGAGGACATGGGCTACCAATGAAGACAAGCACCGTTGTTTCAGAAACAAAGCTCAAGTTGGAATTTGTTCAGAAATCATTTGTCCAGTGACCCGCCAGCGGCTCGACCAATTGCGAGTGCTCAGCTTTGCGAAACTATGGCAAAGTCCCTCCCAGATTTAAATAGATTTTTGCACTGGAGGAACTCTGAGCTCATGTACGCGAACACCTAATTTACGCCAAAACTTCAGGGGGTGCACCACGGCCCCGGTGTGTCCATACATTCCGTATGGCCACAATGACGGCAAAGATCTTCGTAGCTACTTGAAAACTATCTAAAGTTCAACAGGCTTCTATACGGGACGAATGATGGAGGTATGATGTCATGCACCGTTTTAGCCATGTTTTTTTTTTAAAATGTGGAGAATCAGGTCCAGCAAGGGCTCGAACTCAAGATGTCTTGCTAAACGCACCGATTGCTCTATGTTGCCCATGGGCACCTCAATTAGACTTGCGCACGCAGTGAAAAAGTCATTTGCCGCTGAATCTCACGAAGACGATACTCATCGTGATTAGATTTGCTTACGATGCCCTATTTTTCTTACTGGAAGGGAAATCCGTGCTTCCACCGCGATCAAGGTAAGCCAAGTCATCTTTACCGACCGATAGTGTTAGGTGGTTAACCGGTACCTCGATATGGTCTCTAGCTTCAGTCAAGGCGGTTTGGAGATGAACAAGTCCCATCTGTTTTGACTTTTTCAGGCTCTGATGAAGGCGACAGCCGAAGTGGCGCAAATAAATGTTGCAATTGCTTTGTGCGGCCTAAGTGAACAAATTAGATTGACATTACAACCATGCCAAGATTAAGAGATAGTCGGTCCTGGTCGATCCTAATGCTTATCTGTGCACCTGAGTCAAGAAATCAACCCGATAAAAGACTTAGTTGCAACAGGAGGAAGTGAGCGTGTTGGGGAGCATTGAAGAATAGCGAAGGAGTAGCGAAGAAGACAAAGAGCATGTGTCTCCATTTCCATCTTTTCCGCGGTCCTTCCTGGTCTAACCTCAGCCGCAAAAGTCACAGTCCTCCGAAAGCAGGACGAACATGCCGTCATTATCAGTCAGCGCCTCGTCGGAGGAGCCATGCTCGCGAGAGTCTGCTACGGTGCAAGTAATTGAAAGCGTCCGGGAGGCTCTGCAATTTCGAACATCACGTAGCGGCCTACACCACACGACCAAACTAAAAAAAAGCCACAGTCACAACTCATAGGCAATTTCGAGCGTGCGGGGGCAAGTGACACGAGGTTTAAGTTGTCCGCCTGACCCGACGTCGTTGCAACACGGGAGCATTAGGTATGAAATAGGTGAGATGATACACTGAACCTAAAAACGTCTCAAAAGATTAGCACGTGTGACTTCTGAATGACCTTTCGGCCTTTCTCATCTGTTTTTGTTGTCTTCCTCTGCCTCTCACCCATCTAACGCATATTTAACGACGGAAGCTTGCCTCACCCGTTTCACTTGATTTTCAAGATGTTTGATAAGCTCTTCACTGAATACTTCACTGTGATCCATGATCGCTTTGTTTTCCATGATTGATAGTTGCGAAGAAATCTGAAAGAAAGTAAAGCCTTCTAAGATGCCACTTTTCACTCGAGCACTCAACCAATCAACCACGATCGACCAACCTTCACTATGAATTTCTTCGGCACGTCCTTGGGCTCAGTCTGCCAATCAGGTGATATCAAACATATCCTTGACATAACACCCTAAAATAGTGATTTCAATAGTAACTTCACTGTAATTAGCTTTCAACAGAACAAACGACAAACGAAATTAGGCTCTCCTGTACACCCTGTTGTTAAAGGCTTAAGGTAGGTACCTGTATGACTTTTGCTCTCTGCATAATGACCTCAAACCCCTTTAAACTGTTGACGGTTTTCCTATACAAGAAGTTATGGGCAGAGACAGCTGATCTGGCCTTTCTTCCTGATACAGTAGATCGGAGAGACCAACCAAGAAAGGTCAGTTGTTGGATAGCTTACCCATGATCATCCACTTGATGATAACCAAACGAACTTCAACTGCTAGATATCAACAAAACCCTTTGCCCGTAACCCCTCCAGCTCACTGGACGCACCTTTTAAAACCCATGGACTGTATAGAATACAGGGGAGGAGAAAAAAGATACTTCGCCCGAGGCACATATCAGTAAAGAATACGCAGCCCAGAGAGAAGACGTGGATACGAGTACCAGGGCGGAAGATACCCAAGATGTTCCTCGATAAGCAGGAGCAGGCTCTCGCCCATCACCTTCATGTACACCAAAATATGAAGCCATCTCCAATCGCAGCCTGACTGGAGAAGGCCTAAATTCACGTCACCTCCAAACAGCTGCGAAACTTCTTGTATGGAGTCACCCATAGCTACCTGGAGACCGGCACTCTTGATCTGGAAGACCTCCAACATCGAGCAGCTCCGACAACGTCGCCACGGTCTAGGACATCATCTTCACCGCAGTCGCCAAGGCGCGGGTTGATGGTATGGACCGGAAGTACCTGGAATGGAAGACCGATATTTTCTTCGTGGACCCCGGACTGAAAGTGAACGCTGACTTTTACATCAAGCAGCTCGAGGAGAATATTCTGCCTTCATGTCGTCGCCTGTACCATCTTGGGAACTTCGTACTGCTACAGGATTGGGTGCCAGCACATGGAATCGAAGGGCGTTGGAAAAACTCTCGCCTACTTGGAATCGAAGGGCGTTGAGTACCTGAAGAAGACGGAATATCCAAGTGTCACCTGACCTAAACCCCTCGATTACCGGGTCCGAGCGGAGCTCAACAGGGTGGTCTACAGTGGCGGAGAAATCAACGACCTCGCTGAACTCAGGCACCGAATCACGGTCGCGTGGCAGAATCTCTCGATGGCGTTCGTCCAGAAGGCTGTGGCGGAGTTCATGATACGTACAATGTGTTGTTGAATATGATGGTGGAATGTTCAGTCAGAAGTGATACGTGTGACTTATTTTGCAATGAAAGTCGAGAAAAAAAGTGTCTTTTTTGACCCCTCTGTATACAGAACAGACCCTCATGCCGATCAAAATGAAAGCAAATAGCCGTATTTTTTTGTATCTTTCACGGGAGTGCTCCATAAATAATATGGTAATAATGTCACATTGAAGTAATAAATAATATTGTTGAGTATACGCTGATTTTCGTATGAGCTGCTGAACTTACATTGCCTACTCCCGATGTTCTTTGACGTCTTTGTTCGGTCCAAATTTCGCTTGTTCTCCGAAGGCTTTGAAGACGCTCTTTTGAAGTTCGTCCCAAGTTAGATGAGTCTTGAGAATGCCATCAGCAGGTATGAATAGAGACATTCTAATCTGCAATGGATTTTTCTCATGCTCTTTTAGTTCACATGGAAACGCGAGAGTCGCTCATTCAGAAGTGCTTCGCTTTTCGTACAGGCAGCAACAGGGTACGTCGTGTGAAACAACATAGAGGGGTCGTACTTTTTCTCTAGGAAGGGGTCCTATTTGGTCGCTGGGAGAGAGGGGAGGGGTCGTTTGTGGCTTTAAGAGATATTCGTCACGTTGGGGAAAAGTTTTCCCGGTTGTTGACTTTTCGCGCGATTTTTCCTGTTTAATGTGTGCACCATGTACCTCCTCCCCCCCCCCTCCTCCCCGCTAGACGGAAATTTTTGGGTGAAAAAACTGGAAAATGGAGGAAATTTGTAGGTAGGTGTTAGGAAAGGGGGTCTACCTACACCACCACCTCACACATCACGATGCTGTACCCTGCGCAGCAAAGAATGTCCTGAGGATTTTGTTACTAGTGAAAAGGCTCGTGTCGAAGATCGCTAGAATCACGAAATCACGAATAGAACCAGAAGTAGAATGTACAGGCTAGAGCCCGTTAGCAAGCAAATAAAAACCATGTTAAAATGCTCTAATTACATGTCCGAACTGTCTGCGTTACACTTTTTCAGGCTCGGTTCGGTCTGGGGGGGGGGGAAGCAAAAGCATTTTTCACTTTCGATACTTCCCATCATCATACGGAGCCATCAGATAGAGATTTGTGAATTCTCGTGAGGCTATGAAGTGATACCAAACGAAGTTTCTAGGAACTACTCGACAACTTTTGTGAAGAGTACCTGCAATTTCTTATAAGACAATGAACTCTGCGCGATAAGGAGAAAGCGGTATTTCAAATTGCCCCCTCAAAACCGAAAGCGCCCTCTTTCACTTCAAAGCTCGTTTCTACTGCCAGATCTGTGGCGGATAGTTACATAAATGATAATAAAGGGAATTAGAAATGGTTGCTATAAACGAGTGCTGTCAGCTATAAGTCGCAGTATGTGATATAGAAGACGGTGTATTTCAACAGGGAAGGACCGGAAGTGGCAGTAGACTGACTGATAAGCAGAAAAAATTCCGAATTCGTGATAAGTAACCGGACCTTGAACACTGATAACAAGATGACCTCCCAGTGGAGGGAGGCAACCGGATGCGAGAGCTTGTAGATAAGAAAAGATTTCCCGCAGGCTTGCATGCAAATATCAGTGCGCGACCCGAGAGCCTGAACGTTCCATTGTAGTTCTATCCGCTCCAGAATCCGGAAAGGCAGAGTGGAAGGATTGTAACACTTCACTCCCACCGGCACGACTGATCACGGGCTCCAGTTCAATCGAACCCATCGTTCGCTATTTTGTTTTGCGATGTCTGATGAAGAGGGAAAAAAATTTTTTGATGAGTTTTCCAGAAAGTTACTTTTTAGTGCCAATTCCAGTACACTCACGTGCCAGATTTTGGTAATTCCCTTAGAATATGTGGGAATGGCCGGTATTTTCGTCGCGGTAGTGATTTGACAAGGATATCACACTTCGAACAAGGCTGTCACAATTGCCTTTGAGAGTTTGCACCGACCAAGCATTCCAGCCGGAGAAGTGGCGGGGCGGACACCCCTCAGAAGCGGGACAAACGCTGAACGAAGAGAAATCAGCATAAAGGTAGTTCAATCCATTTAAGACACTATCAGAAGTTAAACCACAAGTAGCTAGCGTCGTCCGCTGCACCTTAAGGGGTTTGTCCTTCGATGTGATAGATTTGGCGAAGTGCCGATCCGTTTTTCACTAGTAAGGCCACCACATAGAAAGATGTGTCGAAACCGCCCCGCTTGACTCACCCCTTCATCCGCAGGCGAATAAGGCTGTACACAAGATTGTATATAATGTGATTTAAATGTGATTAATTTAAATGTATGTGAGTCACAGAGGCCTTTAATTGCCCATCTGTGGGAGTATTATCGAGTTCATGTGTCCACCCCAGGCAGGACTAGGCTAAGCATCAAGAAATCTGCCATAGGGTAGGGAGAACCTGGATAGACTGGATGGGTATGCAAAGTAGAAATTCCACTTATGGGTGACGGGTGGGAGAGGCGCTTATTCTCACTGACGTAACTTGGCTCTCTGGTTGCTTGATACGAGCACAAAATTTATGAAATTTATGATAACACGGATATCAGTTGCGGAATACCAGAGAGGGGAGCTTGATAGCGGTGACTAAATCCATTTCCGTTTCTTGGAACGAACCGCACTAGCTCGTGGCTCGAGATGAATTAGCAAACAATCGATCTACTGACAAGACATGCAGTGGAAAAAGTAAAGGCTACGAAACTTCCGACAGAAAATTCTTGGTCGCAAAGGCTATAAGAAAGGCTTTGAGTTCCATCACTGGCTCACTCAAAGTATGAAAATCCACATTGTAACTCGAGAACGAACAATCCTACTAGTAAGCTGAAAGGGGAGCGCTAAAAGTGCACTCGGGCCATGGACAACTCATACATTCGACATGAGGCCAACGATCGTCACGGACGTGCGCGCCCACACGTCAATTGAAATGAGGACGTGATAGTGAGAGCGGTCCAAACATCAGGCGCACCCTCAAGATCATAGAACGGGTACATTTGCGTGGTGACTAAGAACCCGTAATCCACAGTTTCAAAAACTTTCGATCAGTTCTGTTAAAGAAGGCGATACTAACGAGGAAGCAGAAAACGCTACAGAAAACAGCAAAGATCTTGATACCACTTCTCAAGCCGTCTTTTACCTAGTAATATTTTTTATTAGTATTGTTCAACAATGTTATTTCATCCTCGCTCTCGCTAAGAAGACGAATGATACTGAATCATTTCAGAGTGCGCTACACATGCGCCACTGCTGCCCAGCATCCGACCCCCACGTATGTCTTCTAGCGCAATCAC